GTCTACATCATCAAATCGCTGTCCTTTCATGTCCCTCATCATTCGAGGAAACAAAAAAAAAGTGGAATGGAGCAAGGTCAGGTGAGTAAGGTATGTGGGGCAAGAGAGACATGCTGTTTTTTGCCAAAAACTGGTGCACTGAGATGGCTGCATGAGCAGGTGCATTGTCATGATGGTAAAACTTGTCCCATCTGCCACAAATCAGGCCTTTTTTGTCACACACTGTTACACAACCTTTCCAGAACCTCTAAATAGAAAGCTTGATTAGCAGTCTGACCTGGTGGAACGAACTCCAAAGGCACTATTCCTCACATAGCACATCAGGTTTTGGGGGTTCCCCATCGTATTAAGACTCATAAAAGCTGATTCATGCACAAAGTCAGAATGCAGCTTCCTCAGATGTACTCCTGGGCGGGCAGGTGAGCGCAAGCACCAGTAGAGGAGAACCAAGTTCAGGATCCTAAAGAGAAACCTGGCTGCTATACCTCATGGTGACCGGGTTCGGGATTATGCTAAGAACAAGGTGAGCCCATAGGGCAGAGTAGAACTGCCCCTGTGAGCTTATGAGACTATAACACTATGTGAGTAGAAAGCCCCACCGTGTCCCCCGCCTGGTAGCTAGTGGTTTTGAACTGCAGATCTTGCTGTTAGCAGGCCAACGCGTAACCACTACGCCACCAGTTCCTTCTTAAAGCTAGATTTACCCTAAACCAGTGGCCATGCGCCGAATTAGTTTAGGTAACAAAAAACGAGGCTTGTTATTCTCATTGTCACCACCTGGGGGAGCCAAACACCCTCTGGACCAGCGATTCTCAACTTGTGGGTCGTGACCCTTTTGGGAATTGAACGACCCCTTTCACAGGGGTCGCCTAGGACCATCGGAAAGTACATATTTCCAGTGGTCTTGGGAACCGAGACATCGTTCCTCTATCCGTCTCCAGGCAGGTCTGCCCACATGCAAATACTGTATACCCACATACGTGAAGACTGTTACCCATGCTACACCATGCTTCAAGACAAAATTTCATTTATTTGTAATTAGAAATAAATATTTCACAATATATAATTACATAT